AAAACGGATGATTTGATACAATTTGCTTTACTCGGTGGTGGCCTGTATATGCAGCAGATGGTAATGCTTTGGGACTGCAGCTGGAATGACATTAAAGCAGCCTCACATGAGTGACATGGAATCTTCGCCACACTAACTTGTGCTAAATTAGATCTATAAATGAATGCTACTCCTCCTCCTCTACGCCCGAAACGAGGGAAAGACTTAATTAACCAACTGGACATATTGTTGATAAAATCGCATCGTCACCATACTCCTGCAACCATGATTCTGTCATACATAAAATATCAAGGTTCATTTCAAAATTATATCATTTAACTCGTCTGCTTTATTACGGCATGACCTGGTGTTGAGGCACGCTATATTGAGGAAAACAAGATATATATCAAGGAGTTTAGAACTAATGGAGCCTCCTCTCTCTCTTCGCGGTGCTACGAGCAGTACGCCGCGGTGGGGATCAAATATGGCGACCGACTGTGGGCTAAATCACAAACTGTGGCGTTTCTTTTTATAGAATCTTATCGGGCTGGGCCACGTTGTGGGGGTGGGCGGGGTGGGGGAATGCACGCAAGGAAGAGGGGATAGGGCTGGGATGAAAGAGGAGGGGCGGGCCTTGGGAAGGGACGAAGGAGAATGGGAAAACTTAAATAAAAGAGAGAGAGGGAGAGAGAGTGAGAGACAGACAGACAGACAGAGAGAGAGAGAGAGAGAGAGAGATTGTGATCAACTGACGCGCTGGCAGATAATGACAGGGAGAAAAAACCCCAATAAATTCTGTGTGTCATACAGACTGTTCAATTCTTTAAGAGTTTTATTTTTTATAATCTAGTTTAAAAATCAAAAAGATGTGTAAAATAAGAAGAAAACCTGTCAGAGTAACATAAAATTATCAAACATACCAAATTATAAAGATAATCTTTCAAGATGCTAAAATATTTAATTATAAGAAATGGATAAAAATATACTTTTAAACTGAATTTAAGATATGATTGCCTGATTCTAGGCGTGTGCCATAACTAATTTTACGTGTAAGGAATAGCGAACACTAAAGAGGGTCGATGCCAGCTTTATCTGATTGTTAACAGTGTGTCTTGATCTATAAATAATAATATTATTGATTACAATAATTTTGTTTCCTGGTTTTCACAAAGTGGAGCGCACAATGATTTCAAATATAAAAAAAAAAGAGATAGCAGCACCTTTGGAGGTGTGATCGCATGGATGACCTTTGAAGGGTTGGGGGGTTTTTTGTTCAGTAAAGTATGATATGGAGAGTAGCGTTTTTAGCCCCTTACTACACTCCAGAGTGGGCATAATTCATCTTAGTGATGACTTTTGTGTAGTAAAATTTGTTGTTGCTTTGTTTGGTTTATTTTTTAACAGCAGAATCTTAAGTGAACCGGAATTATTGATTGTGGGATCTTAGGTGAAGACTACAGCAATAGAATTAAACCGAGTATAGTTCTATCTAACAAGACTCAAACTCTTATCCACCCCACCCTACCCTCTCCCCTCATCTGATATGGTTTGGTGTATCTTTAACATAGAAAATATTCATATTATTGTAGTTGAGTATTGATTTCATATTCTAATGGAGCCTCTAGATATCTACATTTAGACAACAGTAGCATCTAATTTGCACACACAATGGAAAGCAATATCTTTATTTAAAATGTATAATATATACATACACACACACAATAATTATATATACACATAATAATTATATATTTATGAATAAGAATACTTTTAAAAAATTGAGTATCTGGGTCTTTCTGCTGGGGTGTTGTATCCCTTTCAGCCTGGGTTGGCCTTGGCAGGTAGCGCAGGAGCCAGCCTCTGATGAATATTAATAATCTAAATTGTGTTGCTGGGGGGCATAAAAAACACTTTCATTCAAATTTTTAAGAAGGAAAACAACTTAACTGTGAAAACTTCGGTCCACTGCAGCATCATATCGGTTCTTATACTTAAATACAACACAGGTGCAAGGCATTTTTACTAATTGACTTGCCTAATCTCAAGGACCTCGGAATAAAACCTTCTTTCTTATCTAGATTTCAGTGCGTGAGTCGGGCATTCGCGTAGCGCAGGTAGCCCACAGTTCCGCCGCGAGAGAGGGCTCCTATCAGGCGTGCGGTGCCGCCCACAGAGCATCCTCCATTACTTTTAATCTCCTTGATATATCTATATATATACATATTTATATATATAATATATATCTATATATATATAGAATATTAATGCAAGGTCTGCGCCAAGTCAGACGGAAGCCGGTCATTAAAAAATTGTCACATGGTCATCTCGTCATACCCCTATGTGTGACGAAATGACTTTCACTTTTCTCTCCAAAATAGTTATGCAAGTAGAGTTTTAGAGGAATCAGTGTCAGCAGTCTTTATTCAAGTAGGTATATAATTGCTGGGCCATGCCCTCTTGTTTTTAAGTAATTTCCTAAACTGCCCCCAGCTAATCCCACCCCTCCCACCAATAAAAATAACTCCACAAAACTACCCAGTTATGAACGGTGAAGCTGATCAGGTACACAGGCACAACG